TGCTGTTGAGGTCAGGATTGAAAGTACTTGAGATGATGGTTCACATTCAGACTCAGTGTTTATTAATTTTAATTTATGTTAAGGTCTCACAGCAGTCTTTCACTAACAAGGCACAAAACGGCCAACTATTTCTTGGTAGAGGGTTTTTAAGGCTAAATTATCTAATTAAGAAATGACACCTAGATTATTTTCACTGTTAACCCAATAACTGATCCCTCAAAGTCTTTTCTGTCCAATTGCAAAATATCACCCAAACCCATGAAGAAGAAGCCACTGCCCTAAAACCTCCATCTTAGCTGTATAGATATTACTATATTCTAAAACCCCAAACTCTGAGTTTTCCACCCTGTGACATCACACACTCCTAACCAACTCCACACCCACAATCCCAGCGCTCTCAATGAATTTTGGAAGCCTCTCCAGGGCTCAGGCCACGTGCAGAGCTCTCCTGGGGCTCCGAGTCTGCCAGCACAGAATTCTCAGCATCCACAACTCCAACAAGGGGCTGCTTGAAACCCTCTGCAGACACAAAGTTCCCAAGTCTGGCCCCAAAAAATGGCTTTTTTGTTGAAGTGCCACAGTGGCCCGGCTCCTGGGGTCCCTGAGCTCCCTCCCAGGGGTCTGGCAGGCAGAAGTGCAGCTGCAGGGAGCTGCTGCAGGCTGCAGCAGGCAGATGCCACTCACCCCACGTCACTGGGATATTTCAGGCCGAATTTGTGCTGGGGAGGAGGATGGGCAGGAAACGTCTCGTTTCCTCTGAACCATCAGCTTCTGACCCCAGCCCAGCACATCAAAGCCAGGCCTGGCTCAGGCCCAGCCCAGAGTGCTCAGACAAAGCCCAGGGTGACTCTGCAGGAGAGGAGCAGCTCCCACTCCTCCCTGGAGCAGAACCCACAGCCCTCCAGGACCTGGCCCTCATTCCCTCAGGGACAGCAGCTTATCTATCCCAGGAGAGTATTCCAGCAGGGCATCCCAGCAGTTATCCCAGCAGGATATCCATCCCAGCAGGGCATCCCATCAGTTATTCCAGCAGGGCATCCCAGCAGTTATCCCAGCAGGATATCCATCCCAGCAGGGCATCCCATCAGTTATTCCAGCAGGGTATCCCAGCAGTTATCCCAGCAGGATATCCATCCCA